TGAAAATAGGCTCATTTTTTGGAGCCAACAATAACATCATCATACAAGAAAAATAAAAAAATAAGCCAATTAAGGTGAAAATAACCAACACCCTTTAAAAGAGCCATTAGTGGAGATCCCAAGCATCAATCTTGGGCCTGTCCTAGAAGCAGCCTAGAGAAGCTGCTGCTGCTTTAGTTGAGTCATCCACAGTGTGGAGATGTTTCCAGGTGGAAAGTGTTGGCTGGGTTTATGAGGCTTCCCTGAGAGGAAAAATAAAATAAAACAATAAAACTAAACTGATCCACCTTTACTCTGTCACTGAGCTGAATTTTCATTCATCGTTTAGCTAAGGGCCACTGAATGCTGTTTTGTCTGTGTTTACTGGTCTGCAGTAAGGTTTGCATGTTAATCAGGTTGACTAAATAATAGCTGCTTTCCTGGCAGCGCGTGAATCTCCATTTGCTTTGTTTTTTTTAGATGGCCGTTAGCTTAAAGCTGTTAGCTCAGCTCGCGCTGCATCATCGACCTGACTAACAATATTAGAGAAGTGCCGGAAAGTGAGCATCTACAGTAGCTTTAAACACGTTTTAAACACCAAGCAGCCCATTATCTTTTATTAATTGTTCTTAATTTAACAAGTTTAGCTGTGTTTGGGGAGAAAACAGCCCAGCAGATCGAAGTGATGAATGGAGCAGCCGTTGAGGATAATGATGATGATGATGATGTAGCTAACGTTTTTTAACAACAGATGGAGCCCAGCCCAGCCCATACTCACACCACTACCCTCGAAATAATCCAGGATACCATGCTGCTGCTGCTGCTGCTGCTGCTGGATGGCAGAGACGAGAGCTTTCTCCGCGTCTAGGAACTCTTATTTTGGCTAGCAGGTGGGCTCTGTGCCCCCCATTCCTCCTCCAGCGGGATGTGAGGCAGCGGGTCTGATTCCGTCCTGTCAGGCTCGGTCTGCCACGCTGCTGTGCTGTCAGGTGAGTGAGCGGCACGGAGGATGATGAGGGTCTGCTGCTGCTGCAGTCTGCTCCCCACTGCTGGAAGACTGGCTCTTAAAGGGGCCGCGTCACATTGGTTCAGGTCGCTTTCGCTTCATGAATGCCTTCCATGTTTTCTCGTCCTCGTGCACTCATAGCTATGGGAGTCTGTTTGCGCCACGTGAAAATATAAAAATGCCAATAGAAAGTCATAACTGTGAGATCATTTGAACTTTTAAAATTGTAATTATGAGATACAAAGTCATAATTTTTAACTTTCAAAGTCATAATTTGAACTTTTAAAGTGACAATTATGAGATACAAAGTCATATTTACGAGATAGAAAGTCATAATTTCAGTGTTGTCATAATCATGAGATACAAAGTCATAATTTCAACGTTCAAAGCCATAATTATGAGATATAAGACATCATTTAAACTTTCAAAGTCACAGTATGAGAAAAAGTCATAATTATGAGATACATAGTCATAATTTGAACTTTCAAAGTGACAATATGAGATAAAAAGTCATAATTTCATCTTTTAACGTGACAATTATGAGATACAAAGTCATATTTACGAGATAGAAAGTCATAATTTCAGTGTTCAGTCATAATTATGAGATACAAAGTCATAATTTCAACGTTCAAAGCCATAATTATGAGATATAAGACATAATTTGAACTTTCAAAGTGACAATATTAGATAATGTCATAATTATGAGATAAAGTCATAATTTGAACTTTCAAAGTGACAATATGAGATAAAACAACATAATTATGAGATACAAAGTCATAATTTTGAAATACATAACTGATAATTATGACATTCTTTATTTTCATGTGGCAGAAATGGGCTTCCATACACAGTTCAGTGAAAGTAGGAGAAAATAAAGATTAATCTTACCAATTTAAGCTCGATACTGCATTTCACACATAATAGTGCTAGTAATTGAAACATTTTTTTTTTTTTTTTTTAAACATATGGTATTTAAATGTCTGAGGGGCGTTTAAAAAATAAAAATGTGGCCCTGAGGGAGGCCTCCACCCCACTGATGAGCTCTTTTTGGCAGTAATAGACAAAATTTTCCTGGGGCAGGAAGGGTTGTTCCATGTTAAAAA